GGTCACGTTGAAAACGTTTTTCTAATTTTTGTAGACGATTTAGAGCTGAAGGCTTGGAGTTGCCTAATCTATTAATGGATTCGTTGAATGGAAATTTTACAATAAACTTACCTTTGTTGTCTCGAGTGGTAGTTTCCTTAAAAAAGCTTTCGCAAAACTCTTCTTCAAATGATAAATGTTTTTTTGTTGGAATCTCTTCAAGTTCCCAAAATTTAGTTAATTGTTGGTTTAATGATAAGGAGCATAATGTTTTGCGTGGTTTGGGTGCTATGGGACAATTAATGACACCTGCAAGTATCCAGCCTAATTTGGAGGATTGTAGCAGTGGTTTTCCCTTGCCTAAGGAGATTTGATTATTAAGTAATAATTCATAGAATATAGAAGCTCCAAGTAATATGTCAATTTCATTTGGTTCATTTACCCTTGGATCAGCTAGTACTATATTTTGAGGAATATTGAGTTGCTTCAAGCTATAATGAGTGGTTGGAATTTTATCTGTTATTTTTGGTAAAATTAAAAATGACAGTTCAATTTTGAAGTCTGACAACGTTGATTGAATTACTGTATTGGTTTGTTTGGAAATGCCAATGGAACTTTGGCCAACACCGCAAACTGACATGTTGATATCATAGTTTTGTAAATGTAATTTTTTAGCTAGGGACTCTGTGATGTAATGGCTTTGGCTCCCGACATCAAGGAGAGCACGTGCTTTGTGTAAATTTCCAAAACTATCTTTAATGAGAATAATGGCTGTTGATAGTAGGACTAAATCATGTTCATTAAAGGAATGTGCACTGATTGAAGTCAGTGTAGCAGAACTGTTGTGTGCTAGTGACTGTTCATGAGAAGTGTTGGTAGAAGAATGCAAATTGCTGGGTTTTGTGGTTATGCTGGAGAGGGGTTCTTGATAATCTTTATGGTTGTTTGAATGGAGTATAGTGTTGTGCTTGGCACGACATAATCGACAATTGCTTGAGTTGCACTGCAATTTAGAGTGTCCCTTTCTCAAACAATTGGTACAAAGACCTAGTTTTTTAACTTCTGTGTATCTGTCAGCAGGTGATAGCTGCATAAAGGTTGTGCAATTGTAGATACCATGTGATTGGTTGCAATAAAAGCAATTGCCTGGGGTGTGAGAAGAAGTGTCTTTTTGAATGGATGAAAATGTGTGATTGTTATTGGTGTATGATGTGACTGGTTTTTGTGATTGTTTTACAAATGTTTTATGATTATAATTATTTGGATTTTGTTGACTAACTTTTTGTGAGGGTTTAGGTTTGTCTAAACTCTCCAAGTATTCACACCTGCAAACCAAAAAATCTAAAAACTCTGCTAATGTTGGAGGTATTTTGTTTGTTTGTGAGTGTGACACTTCTTGCCAGCGATTTCTAGTGGTTTTGTCTAGTTTTACCTTAATTAAATGAATTAAAAGTCTATCCCAAGAGTCAGTAGGTTCACCTAATGCCTTGAGTGATCTGATATGTTGTTTAAAAGAATCAATCAGCTTTCTGAGTTGTACTGACGACTCAGTTGTTGCTTCAGGTATGCTAAAAAGTGCTTCTATGTGCCTATCTATAATAACTTTTTTATTTTCGTACCTGTCAATTAATAAGTTGAGAGCAATGCTGTAGTTGTCGTTCGTTAATTCTAAATCTTGAATTACCTCCAGTGCCTCTCCTTGGAGACGGCCTTGGAGATAATAGAATTTTTCTACTTTTGTTAATTGAGAATTTTCATTAATTAAAGCATTAAATCTTTGAATGAAAAACAACCATTTTTTGTAATCTCCATCAAATTTTGGAAGATCTATTGGTGGAAGAGATACCTTGCCAAATGAATTATGTGACTCTACCTTTTGATACTGTTGATTATCTAACTGAACCCGTTGATTCATATTACTGTGTAATTGCATAATAACATTGCGAGCTGTAGCTACCCCTTTATAATAACTGGATTCAAATATTTATCTGTCATTTGTCAAATGTGCATTGTGATCTAAACTTTCTATTTCACCCTGTACACTGTCAAACTGCTTAAACATGTTTGGTGCATGTTCTAATCTAATTTCTAATTCAATGAGATTGTTTTCGTCTGCATTTTTTACAAATTCAACAAACCGAGTTACTTTAGCTATTATAATTTCTCGTTCAGCTAGTAATTTATTTAAAGGCTGTTCATGAGCATTATTGTTCGAGAGATTGCTGCTAGTTTTATCATCGTTCGGTGGCATTGTTGTGAATATTATTGATTGTGATCAAGTAAAAATGTGATTATTCTAGCCAAATTGTGCTTGTGAAATGTACTTACCCTTACAGGTACAGATTGAATGACTGATAGCGATAGGTGTGAATGGGATGATTCTGTGTGATGTGATGCACGTGTGAAAAATGGAACTGTGTTTCCCTTTTGCTTGAGAAAACAATCCGCCGAAGGACCAAAAATATGTTTGAATTGTTAACTGTTGATTAATTTGCTTGACTGAATAAAAAATAACACTTGATTTGATGATTTTACTATATAAAAAACATTTTTTAACGAGCACAAGTATTATCTATCTTGCATGTAAAAGAAGCAGGAAGGAAGTAAGTTAACAAAAAATATCTGTCAAATTTTCTTGACATAAAATCAGGATTGCCAATTACAAAATTAAAAAACACTGATGTTTGCAATGTTGGTTGCCTAACAGTAGGCGCACTAAACACTAAACAATCTGGTTTAACTTTTTTTTACATTTATGTTTCTTTACTTGGGAATAGAATTAGTTCGAAAGTTGGAAAGTTGAAATATATCATTTTTCATGTTGAGTGGACTGGTTTTGGCGAGAAAGCTCACATGGGATTAGATACTATCCCGGTTTTAGATTTTTTTTAGATTAGCCCCTAGCCGTGATTAACATATTAGTGTTTTTCTTATGTTTGAGAGGGCTGGTTTTGGCGAGTACACTCATCATAGGATAAATACTGATCTGGTTTAATATTTTGTTTTATGTTTGAGCGGGCTGGTTTTGGCGAGTACACTCATCATAGGATAAATACTAACCCGGTTTTTGATTATTTTTTTTAGTTACCTCCGCGCCGTGATTAAAATGATAGTATCATTTTTATGTTGAGCGGGCTGGTTTTGGCGAGTACACTCCTCATAGGATTGATACTATCCCGTTTTCTTACCACATTTATCTATTCCCTATTCACTAACACAAGTAGGTTTGTTTCAGTTTCAATACCGACTAGATAGTTAACCAGATAACTTTTTCTACGACCGTGATTTTATTTCTGCTTTTACGAAACAAAATATTTAGGTTCAATGTTTTTGCCGATTTAACAGTTAACTAGCTAACTTTTGCTACGACCGCAATTATTTGCCATTTTTCTTCTTTAACTGAAATAGTAATTTTGTTTTTGGTTTCGTTTTGGCTCAACTACCGAACCGACAATTTATTAATTAGTTACTATTGCCACCGAGCATCTTTCTTTTAATTTTAATTATACCCTCTGATTGAGACTAATCAAAGTTCACTACAGGCCGATCTGTTTGTTTTTCTTTTTGTTCAGGGTTTTAAAAAAATACGAGCGAGGGTGGGCGTTGAAATATTACTTACAAATTATTTATTGTAAATAGTTAAATTCAATATATGTGTCAACGTTACTGAGGTTACTGATCCCTAATTTACTTCCCCCCTTTATTTCAGCAGTGAGAAATTCTTTATCACCACAAGTTAGTCTGAGTGACCAACGACCCCTGGAATTTTTCATCTCCATCTGTGCTGCCCGAATACTTTCGACGCCGTTTCGAAAGTTTGTGGAGTAAACCACACATAAAATCTGGCGCCCGAGAGCCGTCCCGTCAACAGGCGTCATTTGTAAGTAATCGTTTTCTCTGAGGCGAGAAACCCCCTTACAGCTCATAAATTACTCAAAAAATATTAATGGTATAGAGAGGGGTAAAAACTTCTGTTAATCTATAGGGTAATCGAATAACGCAGGCAACGGATATCAGAAGAAAGGGAAAGAAGACACTTTAATCGGCTCTACTGAAAAATCTCTTTTTTTTTTTTTTTTTTTTTTTTTAGTTAGACTAGTCTTGTTCTGGACAAGCGATATGTGTGTGTTTTAGGTGTAGTTATTCATTATGTTAAAAGATGCCGACTAAGTAGAGAAACAGCTGTTTTCGTCCAAAATCTTACTTACATTGTTTCTTCGTTCAGCACGATACTTTTGAATTTCATGTATGTTATGTTTCGTTCTTATTTCAAATTCATTTTATTTCAAAATCATTCATAAGCGGACTACTGTTTTTCGATGTTGCTTAATTCTAAAAGAACTAAAAGATGAAAGCTTAAAACCTGCGTTTCGCGAACCAACCCTTAACAAAAACGTAACTTGTCACGAAAACACCTCAAAGGTTTGTACAAATTTACCAACAATGGACTCATCCAATAGGATCGAATTACCTTTTTTTATATTAATTAGGTGTTAGCTTAAGGGACCTAGTTGCTTATGTTGATTTTCATTGTTCTTATAATATTCATTTGCGCCACTTCTTATTCAATAATTAATGTTTCACTTTCTACGACATTGCCAAGATTCTAGCTTTGTCCCTTTGTAGTTAATTTGACACAATTGTGTAAGTTCGCAAAGTAATGAATATAAGCTAGTCACTTATCACACTAATATAGTGGATAATTTTGTCGATTCTGTTGACTTTTACTCTATTTTGTTGCTATTTTTATCAATATTTTCAAAGTAAAGCCTGTTTTCATTGGAACATGTCACAATCCACCTTAACTCCGAATTTAATATTTTAAAAATTAATTGCAACTAAAATTATAAGATACAAATATAAAAAAACCTTAGCTCAATTAAAATTTTTTAAAATGAATTTAATATTGAATTTATATTTATGGTATATAAAATTTTCCTCATCCTTTAACCATTAATTCTTGTCACTACTGCACACACGAATAATTTGATAAGATAATAGAAATAAAATTAAAAACTTACCAAATCCTTCAACTACAGAGCTTTTCCTTCTTTCTTCACTCATTCGTCTTTTATTGTTATCGCTACATGTTATGTCTTGTCCAAATTCTGCACCTATCACACCTAATATTATAACTGCCGTCGACTGTTTCTTTTTTAGCTCTGACAAACTAGATGGTTTACGTATTTGTTCCTCTTCCTCTTCTTCAAACTCCTCATCCTAAAAAATAACCATTAGTTCCATAAAAAAGTGAAAATAGACATTTTTCACCACAGGATCTGGAGTATGAGGCTGTTGATTGGCTGTGCCATTTGTTTGTGCCACAGGAGAATTTACTTGTTGATTGATGGTTTCAATGTGGGTGAATTGAGGCAAATACTGTGCCCATGATTCCACTAGTTGCTTTCGACCCTTAGGACCCATTCTAAGAATGTACAAATTGATAAAATTAAAAGATACTCGTATATATGATTCATTTAGTAATAATAAACTATTATTTACCTAGACAATTCAGCCAAAAGTAAAGTTTGAGCAGCCTCTCGAACTTCAACACAATGGTGCTGCCATCGTTTTACCATCATTTCTACTTGAGGTCGCTTAAAGTTTCTTGCTCCATGTTCAACCACCTGCAAGGTTAATTCATAATATAAATTAATGTATTTGTCGTATACTAAAGGAAGTGGTGGCAGGAATTTTATTTAATCAGTAATCAGGTCCAAATAGTTGTCAGTGTCAAACTAATTACTTTTTCTACACCAGCATGTACACCAGAACCATTTTACCAGACGGAAATCCCAGATATTTCGCTATTCAAATTATTTTTTCCGCAAGAAACACCACAGTGTTGTCATACCAATTAATTTGTTTGGAATAGAATTTTGAACCAAAAGGTAAAGTTCAACTTAAAGATATTATTCCTAGTGTCAAGTTAAGATTTCCGTACAATAGTTACCGCTGTAACTGGTTACCCAGGGGGGCTTATAACATATGCGCGTTATATCAACAGGTTAGTGCGCAACACATCCGCGTATATCAGTCCGTTTTACAATAATAAAATGATATTTAAATTTAAAGTACACTGAATAATTGAATAATTCAAATATATTTCGCTTAATAACAAAAGTAATACATGGTAAGTATTGTTTTAAAATTATATATTTATATAAATACTACAATTATTTGAAAAACATGAATTAATCAATTATTTGTACAATGTAAATCTGACTTTGGGATTGTCACCCGTTCGAACCGATACAATAACAAAACTGAACAAAACAATATGGTTATGGTTGCTGAATAAAACGTGGTAAGTACTTTTACTTTTATTTAATTTTAGTTTTAGTTAAACATGTTAAATTTAAAATTAAGCAAAGATATTTTGATGTTTTAACATGTGTTTAGCAGGTCCTGTTCGTAATAAATTCATAATATCTAATTGTAATAGCGTTGTTTGTATAAAGGTAAATAGTACAATTTACTGTCCAATTTATGCTGTACATTTTAAGAACACTTTTTTTTATTTCCTTCCGATATTAAGCAAGGAACTAAATGATGCCGCATAAACTTCATCATTCCACTTGCGAAAAACCATTATAGGTTACAAGATTGTAAATTGGCTTTACCTTTGGTACCCTTGAAAGCTAAATTAACAGTAAAGAGTAATACTAAAGTAATATTGTTATCATACCGTCAAACAAATTACCAGTGAAAAGAAAGTTACATTCGATTAAAATTTCATCCAATGAAATATATTACCTAAAAAACAATAATTAGCTCTTGGATTTTTAAATCAATCCAGTGAATGGTTAGCTCCAAGGGAGAAAAAACTCTATTTTATAATTAGAAAACAGCAAAGTAAAATTTGCGAATCAAAGAAGAACCTCAAAGCTTGATCCCGCAGACATCTGTTTTTTTAAAAGTACTACATCTAATTAAGAGATGAAGGGACTACCATTATTAATTATAAAATATTATAATGAAAGTATAAAACTGTGACAATGTCTAAAAGAAAAAGAGATTCAAAATGATATGAAGTTAAAATACTACTTTGAATTTTTTCTGTTTCAGATTATATGGATGGTTCTCCTTAATGTGTTTTGTTACCTACCCAAGTTTACAGAAAGTTTTAGTTGTTTTATTAAAATATTGTTTATTTAGAAAATTTATTATAAATTAGTTTTAATGATATAATAGATAATACAATTATTTTATATTACATTATTTTACCCTTCCTAAAATTATGGGTCATAAAATTTTACATTTTGATTGGCATTTTGTTACATCTTGCACCTTGTCTGTGTTGTAAAAAATGCCAATAAAAATGCAAAATTTTAGTTATACTAATTAAAGTAGAGCTACAAACAAAATCCCGCTAATTTTTAAATAAAATAAAATATGCAGGTATCTATATTACCGACTGAGAAATAGTTGGACAAATCCCTTACCGGTGGCGCTGCAAGCAAACCTGTTGCCATATTTCTTCAAAGAAACGGCAACTCTTAATTATCCTTCCTCCATGTGGTTACCTTTGTCACTAAAATTGTGACAAGCAGAAGTTTATTTTTGATTTCCATTTTAATCGAATAGTAAAGATTTGTTACAATTTTAATTATAACGAAAACACAGCCTACTTATCCACTTATTCTACTTAATTTTATGTCGATTTAACCTAAATGGAGGTGTTTGGTGTAAACCAAAGATATCGGATGGAATAGATACACTACATTGAATTTGTGCGCAACATCTTTCTGACAGTACGCTCTTCCTATGTTGTCATATCTCTTCCATCAAATATTTATTTATTTATTTATTTATTTATTTATTTATTTATTTATTTATTTATTTATTTATTTATTTATTTATTTATTTATTTATTACAATGCTCTACAGGCAATCCCAATTACAGAGCAGGAATAAAAGAACACATACATTATATAGACTAAGTGGTACAAAATATACAAAAATTAGTAAACAGCTAGTAGGTAAAATACAATACAATACAATTTTTTTTTTTATGTTAGGAAATGACATTTTATTTCCCTGAGTTTGCATGAGAAGATATCAATGTCACTACTCACACTATTCACAACGCGGCTAATAGTATGAAATGGAGAATTTTTCAGAACATTTGTGCGAGGTACAGATATGTGAAATATGTTAGAATTTCTAGAGGATACTCTCGGAATGCAGATATCAATTTTTCTCAACAGTTCAGGAGAATCAATTAAACCGTTAACAATTTTGAAACCTAACACATAACAATGGTATTCACGTCTTTTTATGAGGCTTAAAAAGTGATATCTTTGAAGAAGATTTTGGTTTGGTATTCCGATTGACGGATAAACACCGTCCTCCTTTAAACACAGTAATTTTAGAAACCGCCTTTGAACTGCTTCAATTCGAACCGTGTGAAGTTGGTAAAATGGACTCCAGACGACAGACGCATACTCAAGCTTTGATCTTATAAGAGAGTAATATAACGTTTTTAATGTGGCTACATCTTTGAAATCCCTGGTGCAGCGAGTTATAAAAACATACATACGATACGATTTTTCTATCATTTTATCTATGTGACATATAAAGGTCAATCCGGGATCAAAAATTACCCCAAGATCTGTAAAAGTATCTGGTCGCTGAAGTGAGACATTATCTTGCATTAAATTTGTAATAAAAAAAATTGCTATTCCCTTAAATACAATCTATTAAAAAAAGAAAAATAAAGAATTAAACATCAATATGAGTTTTTTATTCAATACAATCACTTAAGATTTTTATGTGTCGTCTTTTACATGTGTATCGTATGTGGATATTGAACATTCTGGTTCATCATAACCTTTAAATTTGGCAACCTAAGACATTTTGTTGACGGCGTCAAGTGACAGCTTACTTTTTTTGTGGTTATTTGAGATTTTTGAGAATAATTTAGGATTGTGAGGAAATGTGTAATGTCAAACTATTTGCAATACGAATGTTATGCGGCTATTTCATAGGTACGGTTTTGTTAACATAGACGGAGGCATATATAGGGAATAAGGCTTTATTTATTTAACGTTGTTAAGGTATGTATAAAATTTTCGCTGATATCTATCTTAAACGAGTTATCATTTCGTAATGCAGACAACTCAGAAAGTAGGTGTGACGTGCAATCCAAATGGTATGTTCTGGTAAGATCCTTTTTTATATTCATTACTAAAATAAAGTTGTTTTATTGGTTTTAATAAGTTTTTTATTTCGTAAAAAAGGTACAGCGGACAGAAGGTGTATTGGTTATACAGTGTGAAGGACGAGGAGGCTATCTTAGATAATGTGATGAATGAATGAATGAATGAATGAATCCGTTTATTTAGCCATTGCTATTATATACAATTATTTATTTTTTTATTTACATATTTTTTTTTGTTATCTTACATAATATACACAATTGTTTAATTTGATTCTCTAAGATATTTACATAATTTTTTGTTAAACAAATTCAAATTGCTAGAGTCTTTTATTTCTTTTGGCAGATTATTAAAAAGATGTATTCCATTAATTAGCAACGATCCCATTAAGAAAGTTTTATTTGAAAAATTTATGTTGAAATTTTCATCGGATCTTAAATGTCGAGAATGTAAGTGTTGCCGCGTAACTAGTAACTCACTTAGATATTTCGGTGTTAATTGATGCATCATTTTATAGATTACAACGAGGGTTGCCTTTTTAATATTCTGTTCAATAGAAAGTCAATTTAGGGTTTGTAGCATATTTTTGATTGGAGTGTAAATATTACATTTTAGAACAACTCTCATACATTTGTTTTGGAGTACCTGAAGTCTGCTTACTTGTTCTTTATTACATGAAAGTAAAAGTGACATACAAAAGTTAAGGTGTGGATATACAATTGTGTTATAAACAAGATTTCTATTCCATTGAGACAAATTTGAAGCTATTCTTCTAAAGAACCCTATTTTCTTCCCTAATTTCCTACATAAGTAGTCTGCATGACTGTTGAAAGTCAATTGAGGATCTAAAATAACTCCTAGGTATTTAATCGTATATACTTGTTCGATGGCAATATTGTTTATACAGATGATAAAATTTCGCTCCGCAAAATTTTTACAGGTCGATTTAGATCCCATTGCCATAAACTTGGTTTTATTTGCATTTAGTTTTAATTTGTTGATACACAACCAGTCATACAGAATACTTAGCTCACTGTTTAAGGTGCGAACAGCTTCTTCAAAATTAGTAGCCGCAGATATGAGTGTGTCATCCGCAAATAAACTTACAAAAGATTGTTGTAACGCGTCCTTTATGTCGTTTATATATATAATGAACAATAAAGGGTGATGTCTATGGTGTAAACGAATTTAACGAATATAATGCTATTAACTGTTTAAGCACAAAAAAACTTTTATAAATAATAAAGTTCACTTTTAAATCAATTATTTAAAACACTATTTTTGCGCCATTTTGCTGCGTCATAATGAAGTGCCTATTCCTATTGGTCAATAAAGAATATATTATATCATAATACATACAGTTATACTACCATGCTTTTTCTAGTTTTTTCAGGAAACAAAAATCATAACTAAAACTCGACATATCATTGTAACTATTTTCCAAAGCAACCACAATCCCTCAATAA